TCCTCAAGTTTGTATGAAAATCTCATTTGGGTCCTCAAGTTTTTTTCTGTCTCAATTGGGTCATATTTTTTGTAAAAGTGAGCACATTGTACCATAACCGTTAAGTGGTGTGAGACGGCGTTAAATTCATGTGAGCTGGATTTTTCCATTTACGGACGTGGCATTGTGCATTAAAATTGACTGTTTGTTGTGTTTTATCCAAATGAAACTTGCGCATTCCCGTTTTACCCTTCAAACCAGGCTCAAATTTCAAATCCTACCCCTTTCTCTCATAGTATTCTTTTCTTCTTCTTCCTTGAGGTTACACCGAACCAGTCCATGGAGCCACCCGCAGCGAAACACGGCTCCTTGCGGAACATTCTGGTTCGTCTATTCTCCTTCGCCGTTCTCATCCTCGCCACGCGATTCGCCATCATCGTCACCGTCCGCGGCGGGTCCTGCGAATCCGCCGATTTCTTCTTCTTCTCCGAAAACCTCACTCTGTCCTCCCCCTCCCCCTCCTCTGACGCCGGAGATCCGTTTACCGGCAAGAACTGGCGCCGTTCCGTCGAGTACTACGCCGCCATTTTCCAGGACCTCATTGCAGACGGCTTCCTGTCCCCTAACTCCCGCGCCCTCTGCATCGACACGCCCGCGGGCGAGGACGTCCTCGCTCTAAAAGAGGTCGGCATCGTTGACTTCGTCGGAATCTTTAAGAAACCGTCGCCGCCGCTGATCCTCCACGGTGACGGCCGCTGGCATCCGTTCTCAGGTGACTCATTCGACTTCGAGTTCTCCGGCAACGGCGGCTTGGAACGTTCGCGCCCGGCGGAGTTCGCCGCGGAGATCTGCCGCACGCTTCGTCCCGGCGGTTTCACGGCAGTGCACGCGGCAGTGAGAGACGCTTACAGCTTCGATTCTTTGCTTGAATTGTTTAAATGTTGTGAATTGATCAGAACTCGAGAAATCAACGGTGTTGAATCCTCTCTGGTTCTTGAAATCTTGTTGAAGAAGAAAAAGGAAAACCTTAATTTCGAAATGGAAAGTGTAGATAGTAGCAATTTCGGGAATAAGTGCTCTATTCCTGGGTATAAACGTGAAATGGTTAAAAATGCAGAGACATTGATTGAGGAAGAGCCATTGAAACCTTGGACTTTATTAAAGAAAAATGTGAAGAACGTAAAGTACTTAAATTCTTTGTTGAAGGCATGCAATGATCCTCTCCAACACGAAAATATACTTTGGATGAGATGGGATGCCCTTAAATGTTAGGGCTTCGTAGCCTACGTGGATAAAAACAACAAACAGTCAATTTTAATGCACAATGTCACGTCTGTAAATGGAAAAATCCAGCTCACATGAATATAACGCCGTCTCACACCACTTAACGGTTATGGTACAATGTGCTCACTTTTACAAAAAATATGACCCAATTGAGACAGAAAAAAACTTGAGGACCCAAATGAGATTTTCATACAAACTTGAGGACCAAGGGAGGGTTTAAACCAATTTTAAAATAACTCTTATTTCACATTTTACCTTTCATACGTTTCAATCTAACGAATATTTCATTAACTTTTACTATTAGATTAAAGTAATAAATTAAAATAAAAGATAACCCTTAAAGTTACTTTAAAAACATTATCAAATAATTTTTTTATGGCATAAATTAGGAGAAAACATATATCTAACATCAACTAAAAGTTTACACTAACAAATAAAAGTTGACACTAATATTTAATGTCAAATTTTGATCATACTCGTATACAATTCTAAAATCATAAATTAATAGTCGGCTTAACCGCATGCTAATTCATCGTTAATTTTTAAATTAAAATAGTTTAGCATAATTTTAGCAATTGCTAATGTATTTTTATTTTAGAAAATTTATTTAATTTAACATTAATTACATAAAATCTACTTTTAATATTAGTTTAATTTGGCTAACGCTCATAGTATTAACTTCAAAAAAAATTGTATAGCCTGTTTGTATTTAAATATATATATATATATATATATATATATATATATATATATATATATAAAAGACATTAGAAAAATCACAATGAATTAAGAAAATTAGTGTAAATAAAAGAGATGAGAAAAATAATTTAGATAAAAACTCTGAAGAACAAAATGTAAAAAATAATAAATGCATGGATAAAAAGATAAATATAACTAAAAAATACCCTTATATATCATGGATTCTAAGTTTTAAGGTTAAGAATATTTTAATAATTTTCATCTCTACTATAGTCCCAATTCAAAAAATCAGAAACACTTGCTGTTAAACAATCTTACAAAAAATGATTTTATAATGAGTTTTCATTTTATAATTTTTGTCTTATCTAATTTTATCCAATTTTCACAAGTATAAAGGAATTGGTAATTGACCAGGAAAAAATCAGAAATACTCGCGGTTAAACAATTTCTTACAAAAAATGATTTTATAATGAGTTTTCATTTTATAATTTTTGTCTTATCTAATTTTCAGAAGCATAGTGACATCAAAGGAATTGGTAATTGGCCTGGAAAAAATCAGAAACACTTGTTGTTAAACAATTTCTTACAAAAAATGATTTTATAATGAGTTTTCATTTTATAATTTTTGTCGTATATAATTTTATCTAATTTTCACAAGCATAATGACATCCGAAGAAATTGGTAATTGGTCTGGAGGGTTTTTTTTAGAGATGATGATTCAACATATGTAGATGATGAAATTAGAGAGGTTAGTGAAGATGGTGAAATTGAAGAGATATTGAATGAACCTTTGCCTGAAGGTGAATATGTTAATGACTCAACTCTTTACAAAGACAAATTATTTGACGACAAGTGTTTCTGATTTTTTCAATTGGGGCTACAGTTTCTGATTTTGTCAATTGGGGCTATAGTAGGGATAACAGAGAAAATGTTGGAGTGAGAGAGATGAAAGAGAAAGGGTTGAGAAGAATGAGAGAGGTGAGTAAGGGTTTCGGGATTTCTTTTTTTTTTTTAGTTTTGAGAATGAAAATTATTAAAATACCATTAACTTAACCCGGTACACATTACTAAAATGTACCAACTGAAAAACAGACGTGCACGTTAGCAAACCCATATATATATATATATATGATGTAAGATTATTAGACGTGAGATCATTAAAATAAAAATGTAATATATGTTTTTGGACATAAACATAAATAAATAAAATCTAAAGTTAATATTGTT